CAACAACATGTTATAATATTATTTTCTAAATTTATTGAATGCTTGTCCACAGAATTGCCATTATAAATATCAGATGAAATGTTTATGTTTGATTTAACATTTGAACGAACAACGTTGTTGTTTGAATTAGCAGTATTTTTAGTACACCTCCAGGAGTGTTTATTAACGTTAACGAATGTTTTGTCGCAATGTGGACATTTAGTTGAATTAACAGTATAAATTGAATTAATTAAAATAATTAAAATAAAATATTTAAGGTTAATGAAATTTAATTTTAAATGTATCGCCATAATCCTCTAAATTTTTCAAGACAACAGAATCTATTTTAAAACTAATTTGAACGACTTAAAATCAAAATTATGCTTAAAAATAGTGAGCTGAACGTAAACGTCCAACCCTCGTATTATTCGAGCAATAATAATAATAATAATAATAATAATAATAATAATAATAATAATAATAATAATAATAATAATAATGATAACAACATTGATGATAATAATAATAATGGTTCGATTTATTATTTATACAATTCAAAATTATAAGAAATAAGAAATGAAGTTTAATAAAAATTTAGTTTTATTAATAATAATAATAATAATGATAATAATAATAACAACAAAAATAATAATAACAATAATAATATTAATAATAGTAATAGCATTAATAATAATAATAATAATAGTAATAATAATATAATTAATACTATTATTGTCAATGTTTTTATTATTATTACTGTCGATAATTATCATATAACGCAACATTATCTGAACAATTATGTACCACCTTAGTTGGCGTGAAAAGCAGGTCAACACAACCAACAGCCTACCCGCTAACCAGCTCGTAACGAAACAATTATCACTCTATTTATAGCAGTTTATTAAACACTTCTTTTTTTTTTTTTTCATTTGCCAAGTTAATTAAGTTATACCACAATTACTCGTGAGCAGTTGTTAAAAAAACGAGTAAGAGGGCGATGGTGATGAAGAAGATGATGATGGGAGTGAAAATGATGATGGGATTGAAGATGGTGATGGGAGTGAAGATGATGATGGGATGAAGATGGTGATGGAGG